GAAGAGATCTCTAGTCTTTCCCATTGTATTGTTTTCCTCTATTTCTTTACACTGATAACTGAGGAAGGTTTTCTTATTTCTCCTTGCTATTCTTTGGAACTCTGCATTCAAATGGGAATATATTTCCTTTTTTCATTTGCTTTTCACCTCTCTTCTTTTCACAGCTATTTGTAAGGCCTCCTCAGACAGCCATTTTGCTTTTCTGCATTTCTTTTTCTTAGGAATGGTCTTAATCCCTGTCTCCTGTACAATGTCATGAACCTTCATCCATAGTTCCTCAGGCAATCTGTCTATCAGATCTAGTCCCTTAAATCTATCTCTCACTTCCACTGTCTAGTCATAAGGGATTTGATTTAGGTCATACCTGAATGGTCTAGTGATTTTCCCCACTTTCTTCAATTTAAGTCTGAATTTGGCAATAAGGAGTTCATGATCTGAGCCACAGTCAGCTCCTGGTCTTGTTTTTGCTGACTGTATAGAGCTTCTCCATCTTTGGCTGCAAAGAATATAATCAATCTGATTTTGGTGCTGACCATCTGGTTATGTCCATGTGTAGAGTCTTCTCTTGTGTTGTTGGAAGAGGGTGTTTGCTATGACCAGGTCGTTCTCTTGGCCGAACTCTATTAGCCTTTGCCCTGCTTCAGTCTGTACCCCAAGGCCAAATCTGCCTGTTACTCCAGGTGTTTCTTGACTTCCTACTTTTGCATTCCAGTCTCCTATAATGAAAAGGACATCTTTTTTGGGTGTTAGTCTAGAAGGTCTTGTAGGTCTTCATAGAACCGTTCAACTTCAGCTTCTTCAGCATTACTGGTTGGGGCATAGACTTGGATTACCGTGATATTGAATGGTTTGCCTTGGAAATGAACAGAGATCATTCTGTCGTTTTTGAGATTGCATCCAAGTACTGCATTTCAGACTCTCTTGTTGACTGTGATGGCTACTCCACTTCTTCTAAGGGATTCTTGCCGATGGTAATAGATATAATGGTCATCTGAGTTAAATTCGCCCATTCCAGTCCATCTTAGTTTGCTGATTCCTAGAATGTTAGTGTTCACTCTTGCCATTTCCTGTTTGACCACTTCCAATTTGCATTGATTCATGGACCTAACATTCTAGGTTCCTATGCAATATTGCTCTTTACAGCATCGAACCTTGCTTCTATCACCAGTCCCATCCACAACTGGGTGTTGTTTTTGCTTTGGCTCCATCCCTTCATTCTTTCTTGAGTTATTTCTGCACTGATCTCTAGTAGCATATTGGGCACCTACTGACCTGGGGAGTTCTCTTTCAGTATCCTATCTTTTTGCCTTTTCATACTGTTCATGGGGTTCTCAAGGCAAGAATACTGAAGTGGTTTGCCATTCCCTTCTCCAGTGGACCACATTCTATCAGACCTCTCCACCATGACCCATCTGTTTTGGGTGGCCCCACACGGCATGGCTCATAGTTTCATTGAGTTAGACAAGGCTGTGGTCAGTGTGATCAGATTGGCTAGTTTTCTGTGATTGTGGTTTCAGTCTGTCTGCCCTCTGATGTCCTCTCTCAGCGCCTACTGTCTTACTTGGGTTTCTCTTACCTTGGACGTGGGGTATCTCTTCACAGCTGCCCCAGCAAAGCGCAGCTGCTGCTCCTGACTTTGGACGTGGGGTAGCTCCTCTTGGCTGCTCCTACACCATTGCAGCCACCACTCCTGCACAGCCAAAAATAAATACATAAATATTAAAAAAAAAAACACACCAGCCATACAACCAGCAATCCCACTGCTGGGCATACACACTGAGGAAATCAGAACTGAAAGAGACACATGCACCCCAATGTTTATTGCAGCACTGTTTACAATAGCTAAGACATGGAAACAACCGAGATGTCTTTTGGCAGACAAATGGATAAGGAAGTTGTGGTACATATACACAATGGAATATTACTCAGCTATAAAAAAGAATGCTGATGAGTCAGTTCTAATGAGGTGGATGAAACTGGAGCCTATTATACAGAATGAAGTAAGTCAGAAAGAAAAACACCAATACAGTACATTAATGCATATATATGGAATTTAGAAAGATGGTAATGATGACCCTATATGCAAGACAGCAAAAGAGACACAGATGTAAAGAAAAAACTTTTGGATTCTGGGAGAAGGAGACAGTGGGATGATTTGAGAGAATAGCATTGAAACATATATAACTGCATGTAAAGCACATGACCAGTGCAAGTTCGATGCATGAAGCAGGGCACTCAAAGCTGGTACTCTGGGACAACCCAGAGGGATGGGGCAGGAAGGGAGGTGGGAGGGGTTTCAGGATGGGGAGACACATGTGCACCCATGGATGATTCATGTGGATGTCTGGCAAAAACCACCACAATATTGTAAAGTAATTAGCCTCCAATTAAATTAATTTAAAAAAACTATAGACTTGAATTACATTAAAAAAGAAGGAACTAAACAAATGACTAAAGAATAATTTGGATAAAGCCAATTTTCCCACCTCCACCATTTTGAAATGCTTAAACCTAGAGGAAAATTAAAAGAATAGTTCAGTGACTTCCTTATACCCTTCACCTATATTCACCAAGCACCAGTTATCATTTTTCCATTTTTGCTTTACTTTTCCAAGTAAAGATGCTTTTATTTTTCTGCACCATTTGAAAGCAAATTGGAGATATCATAACACTTCATCTCTGCATACTGCAGCTTGCATCTTCTAAATATGAGGGTATCCTTCCACATAACCACAATGTTACTACAACACTTTGCAATAATAATACCTCTCAATAATAGTGATGCCATCTAATAGCTGGTACAAATTCAAATTTTCTCAGTGGTCTCCAAATGCCTTTAATAATTGCTAACCCTCCCATCCACCATGCTCCCTAATCCAGAATTCAATCGAGGATCACAATTCACATTTACTTATATCTCTTGAATCCTTTTTATTTTTTAAATCCTTTTTCTATTTTGGGTTTTTATTTTTAATCACACATTTTTCAGTGCAAGCAAAATATCTTCTGGAATGATCTACATTCTGAATTTATTTGATCGTTTCTTCCTGGAGTCCTGAGCTCAATTCAGCAGCACTCGTATTTCCTGTAAATTAGAAGTTACCCTAGGCTTGACCAGATTCAGGTTAAACAATTTTGACAAGAATACTAATAAGTGACCTGTACTTCACACTGCATAGAAGCAGAATATAAACACAGGTTTTTTTCACTCTTTGTGATGGTAAATCTGAGTAACTAACTGATTAAGGTGGTGGTCACCTGCTCACCAGGGTTAATTTTCTCTTTCTTTTTATAAATCCAAGTGAATATTCTGTTCCCTAAAACCTTTCATCTATTTGGCATCCAGTAGTGTTCTTGCCCCGGAGAAGGCAATGGCACCCCACTCCAGTACTCTTGCCTGGAAAATCCCATGGATGGAGGAGCCTGGTAGGCTGCGGTCCATGGGGTCGTGAAGAGTCGGACATGACTGAGCGATTTCACTTTCACACATTGGAGAAGGAAATGGCAACCCACTCCAGTGTTCTTGCCTGGAGAATCCCAGGGACGGGGGAGCCTGGTGGGCTGCCGTCTATGGAGTCGCACAGAGTCGGATACGACTGACGTGATTTAGCAGCAGCAGCAGCAGCAGCAGCAGGCAGGCAGATATAAATACGTATTCCTCCTCTGTGTGAACTATTTTCAAATTAATCTTCTTAAGAAGTAACTGTCTTATCAATGCAATTCCAGATGTTAGGGTGCTCCTTTAGTAGCCCTTCCTCCACAGCTTTAATAAAAATCAGCATAACTGAAGAAGGGCACAGGAAGGGCTCACGCTGCCACTCTCTAGCGGTGTGGCCAAGGGCAAGTTACACAGTTAATCTGTGCCTTGGTTTTCTCACCTATAAAACTGGGATGTTACCTGCCTCAGAGAAGTACCAAGAATCAAAAGTTAACATAGGCAAAGTTCTAAGGACAATGCAAGGTACATAGTACGTGCTGCATAAATGGCAGGCTTTATTATTCCACTATAATTATGTATTCAGACAGTATTTATGTATCACGTAAGTCAGAAATCTCCCTTACTTAATATCTCCACTTCTGTGTTCTCTCAAACACTGTTTACTCAAACTCAATAGAAATAGTCCTTTTTTTTTTTTCCCTTTTGGAAAATAAAGACAGATCTTGCAGATGCTACTTGGCTTTGCCCAAACTCTTTTAAGTCTTTCCCACCTCCTGCTCCCCTTCTTCCAACCTGATCTTTACCATGAGTGTGGGAGGGTGCAGATTATTTGCCCGGCAGGATCTAAAGATCCAGAAGAAAGAAGGATCTAGGAGTCTTTTGAAAGTCTAACCTTCCAAAGAAACTATGTTTCCCTCCTCCCCCTCTCTCCTCCCTTCTGCTCATCTTGTTACCTATTCTATTTATTTCTTTCCCTTCATTTACCCTGACTTTATCTCAAATGTTGGGGGCAGATGCTGACATTCACAAATCCGCCCAGTCCACAAACAGAACACCCCCGCCTCCACCCTGTGTCTGGGATCAATTCTGCGTCTCATAGAACACCTTACCTTCCACAAACTGCAAAGTTTCTGGGTCTGAACTACAGCTCCCCGCGCTCTCTGCCCCTCCAGTTTCCCCATCAGGCCACTTGAGGAGCTGAGGTAGAATTCCGCAGCTTTTGGCAGCAAACCTCCTCCTCTATCGTCCCACCCACCCGTGGGGTCTCGCCAAAGCTGCCAAGGGAACCCAGGGCTATGGGTCCTGTCTCTGTATTTTGAGCCCTGAAGAATAAAGGAATCCGAGAGTAAAGGTTGCCTTGAAAGCCGGTGAATGTGGCCTTGAACCCGGAGCAGCGCTGCGGCCAGGGGCAGGACACAGCGACCTTAGCCCGGAGCCTTGGCAGCGCACCTGCCCGGCGCAGGAAGGGCGGGGCGGGCACCACTTGAGGGCGGGACCAGCGTGGCCCGCAGCCACTCCCGAGTGCTCTGCGTGCACTCGGCGCCCCTGGACCCCGGAGACCATGGGGAAGCTGGTGGCACTTATCCTGCTGGGCGCCGGCCTGGCCCTAGTCTGGGAGAGATTTTTGACACTTGGGTGAGTTGGCATATTGAGCATCCTGGGCTTTTTCTCTTCTTCCAAGTTAGGTTAAGGGCTGCCCCGGCCCACCTTCCTAGCAGGTAAGAATGAGCTGTTTGGGGACCCCGTCTTCTTAATCCCACATAACAAACTATCCCTTGAGAAGCTCTGATGTGGAAAGTGAGCTGATTTCTTGCCTTTCCTAAGACTGTAAGGCAGAAGCGCCCCGATTTATTTTCTGAAAGTTATGCAACTCCCTGCCCGCCCTTCCCCAGGTCACCCTCAGCATTCCACTCACCCTTGAACAAACTAATTCTGTTGGAAGCGCTGGTCTTGGGGGAGGGAGCCAGGCTACTGGCTGGATGTTTTTGGCTGACTCAGAGACTGTCTAAGGCAGGTTGGGTTACCAGATTAAAGGAGCTAGCAGGACTGCGGGGAAATGAACTGAAACCTGCAAGGGGAGATTGGCAGTCTCTCTATATCTGACCTGACCTTTTGAAGTGGAAGATCTAGTGGTGATAGCCATTCTAGAAATATCTCAGGAGAATACTGGGCTAGTAAGAAGAAATGTTTGTCAGATGATGACATGTGTTCCCAAATAGATGTTAGTCTCTACTTGCTTTCAGTCCTCTTTGGATTGTTTTAATTTATTTCTCTAAATAGAAGTTGGTCTTCTCAGAGGTTCACATCTATTGGCAGAATCTGTTGAGGAGCATGGTGCCTTTTGATAATGCATTCTAGTTCAGCTCGAAAGAGTTTATTGTTACATTTGCTCCCAGTGCACGCAAGTGAGAAAATCATAAAAAATAATGATAATTATAAAGCCAATCTAAAAAGCATTTTTTTTAAAGTCACGGTAAGATAAGTATAGAATCTTCCTGAATACAATTTAATAAAAATGTAAAATTATTCCTGGTGTTTAGAAGAATGTTTCACTGTGGAATCAAAAACACTATTCAAAAATAACTTGGCCAATTGTTTAAACTATGGTCAGTTTAATGGACTCATGAACTTGCAAAGTAAATGAGCATAAAATTTTAAAAATAATAAAGCAAAAGCTATAGAGTTTAGCTATTAGGAGACCCTGTTGAATTTGAGGAAGGCAGTTCGGGACAAGGATCAAAAGGCAAGACTGTAAGGGATTAAGGGAAACAAAGTGCAGATTTATAATAGATGATACTTTATCACATTAGATAATACTCTTTTGTGCATTTAAATTAATAATACTTATATACTATTAAATAAAAAATATATGCACAATACCCAGAGTATGTCCACATTATATAAGTAAATGTAAATAAAAGGAGATGCCTACTTATTTGTGATATCATCCATAAATGATGAGAAAGAGAGTTAATGAATTTGAAGGTGGTTAAAGACTGTGGTTAAACATTGATTTTGGATGTTGTGCACTGACCTGCGTTTTTATCTTCTACAGAGAAAGACTGAATGCACATCGAGAAGTAGAGTCAGTAGAACCCCAGAACTGCCGCCTTATTGAGGGAATTGGTATGTATGTGACAGTACAATTTCCTGGTCACCATCCCCCTGACTGAAGCTGCTCATTTAATTCACGACTACTCCTTAAACCCTCCTACTGAGGCTTCAGCCTCATCAATTTTACACAAGCTATCTGATTCCACGTCTCCAAGGGGTGTCCTTAACATCAAAATCTATGGCTTTTTCTCGGTCCTCTTACTGACATCTCTCCATCATTTGAAATATGTTGTTGACTACTCTTTGGTTGGCCCCTCACTGGACTCTGCTCCTGTCCACTCTGTGACATTTCATTTCCTTCTCTGTCTTTTTCTGTTGCCTTCTTTTTTTTTTTCTTCTCCCTTCTCCTTGATGATCCTCCTAGCTTCCAGTGCCACTGCCTTCAAAATTTATCTGCTAGTACTAAGAGAAATGTGACTAAGCCCTTATTCTCAAGAACCTTCCAATCAATTGAGATTTTTTTTAATTAATTGAAAATCCATAGTTGAATCCCTGATCTCTCAAACTGCAGGCCTTTTTTCCTGTTTGAAATCTACTTTGCCTTTCTGTCATTTCCTCTCTAACACCCCCACCCATAATCAGATCTTCTTCCAGACTTCTCTTAAGCTTGGTACCTGCATTCTCAAAGAGATTCAGTTCAAAATTTAGGAAACTGGAACTTCCCTAGCAGTTCAGTGGGTAAGATTTTGCCTTCCAATGCAGGAGATACGGATTCCATCCTTGGTCAGGGAGCTGAGATCTCACATGCCTTGAGGCCAAAACACCAAAACATGAAGCAGAAGCAGTGTTGTAACAAATTCAATATAGACTTTAAAAATCTTTAAAAAAAAGTTAAGGAGCCATTTATTTCCCCCTCACCCTTCACTGTTTCACATGAGACCTGTTGGCCTCTCCTGGGCCCCCATATAGAGCTGATCTCATTTACTCCTTACTGCTTCAACTGCTTGTTCTGGCTCCGAGCCTTTCATTCTCCCTGATGATACTACTAGAAAAAAAAAAAATCTAGCCAGATGCTGTTCTAGGAATGTATTCTTTCATTTTCTCACCTTTGCTCATGAAATTACCTCCAATGATTTCTTCATTGCTGCTTGGTGAAATCAGCTGGAAATCCCTCTTCTACCCCTGAACTCTCATAGCACTCTGAAACTCCCATTCACTTGAGACACCTACCACATGCTTTATTTTAGAGCCAGCAGTGTCTTTCTCTCACAATCAGATTGTAAACCTCCTAGGGTCAAGGATTGTGAATTATTTCAGGACAACAGTGTAGCTTATTGCGATATAAATGATCTCCAAGATAAGTTACTAATACATACATACACACACACACACACACACACACACACATATAAAAGAGCCCTTTTGATTTTGGTTTTCTGTCTTTATTTCCCCCCTCAAATTCTAAAACAAATAGAGAAATAGCCTGTCCCTTGTGCTCCCTGGTCTTAGATGAGGTATGTACTGCGAACTAGAAAACAGAAGGAACTGAAGACAAACCATTTCCTGACTTTGAAATTTAAAAACCTGGGCTCCTTCAAGGGATTCTGATGGAGACGGAAGGGGAATATGTGGTTGTTGTTTTTAAATAACAGGGGACTTTGTCCCATTCTGGGGGAGAATCAAGACCTGTAAAGGAATGGCTACAATATACCTTTAGGGAGGCTGGATCCTTTACACTGTGTCACAGCATGTTGTGTGTGTGTGTGTGTGTGTCTGTGTGTGGGTGTGTGCGTGTGCGCGTGCAATATGTATAACTGGCAAAATTTTCTAAGTTAAAGGGACCACATGAGCTTACATGAATATTTCAGTGGTGACTAGTGTATAATAAAGGCCATATGGACTTCCCCAAATATTTAGCTTCCTTTTAAAATCTCCTAAGCTATTTGCATAACCCTGGCAGAGAGACCCAGTAATGACTCAGGCTGAACTTCCTACCAGTTTAGTGCAACGTGGGTTCAGGGTCAGATTTAATTTGATTAAAAAAAGAAGGAAATGTAACATTCGATCATTTGTTTACTGTTTTGTGGAACAATATTCATATTATGCATGTATCTCTCAAAAGAGTCTGCCAATTAATTTAGACAGTAACTAGAGCATTGTTCAACCATTGTTAAAAGTCTAGCCCAACTCTCAGATTGTACGATTCAGATAGACTTGAGAAGTTAAAACTAGAGCAGAAGAGGCCTCCCTGGCGGCTCAGTGGTGAAGAACGCGCCTGCCACTGCAGGAGACACGGGTTCTGTCCCTGATCCAGGAAGACCCCACATGGTGCAGAGCAGCTGAGCCCCTGCACTCGAGCCCGGGGCCTGCGCGCCCCGGAGCTGGCGTTCCGCGCCGCGTCGCCGGAGCCGCTGCGGTGAGGAGTCTGCGCCCTGCAGCATGAGGGCAGCCCCCGCTCCACAGCCAGAGGAAACCCGCGCAGCCATGGAGACCCAGCCCGGCCGAAAACAAATACAACCAATTCAGAGAACCAGAGCAGGGGAAAAAGGCATGCACCTCTCCTGTCTGTCGGCTTATGTACAGTCTACACATACAGAGCTGAACGAGTGAGAATGGTCATGGGTCATCTGTCAATAGGACAATATTGCTATATATCTAAAAATAATAATACTGCCTTATCAAAGGCCTGGTGTCTATGAGGTTTCTGCTGAGTCCTTTGGAAACACTTTACATCATCCTCACAAACACCCCGTAAGGTGGGTGCTGCCATCTGTCTTTAGAGATTAGGAAACTGACACCCAGAAGAATGAAGTTCCCTGCCCAGTGGTCCAGAACTAGAAGGTGACAGGTCTAGATTAAGAGGCAGGGTGGTTTTCTTCTATGCCTTTGTACTCTCTGCTATGTAACACTGCCTTTCTTATCTACTGACAGCACATTTTTATTACGGGGTTTCAGGGAAGTATGGTGGCAGCAGAAAACAGAAAATCTGAGATGCAAAAAAGTGAAATATTAAAAAATAGAGCTGACCAAGACAAGGCAAGCTGGATATTTAAATAAAGCTCACTAATGAGATGATACTCATAAGACCCTCCTCTTTGAGAGTGAAAAGCTTCGTGAAAGCATGGGAAACCAAAGAATTGAAGGCAGAGTGTAGTAGGCAGTAACAGCTGGGGAAAATTTCTGATTTGTGTTTTCTTCAAGACCTAGACTTTCTGATTAATTTTATTGGTCGAGGGCTTCCCTGGTGGCTCAGATGGTAAAGAGTCTGCCTGCAATGCAGGAGACCTGGGTTCCATCCCTGGGTCAGGAAGATCCCCTGGAGAAGGGAGTGGCTACCCACTCCAGTATTCTTGCCTGGAGAATTCCATGGACATGGAATGCATGTGTGGACAGCAGAGCCTGGTGGGCTACAGCCCATGGGGTTGCAAAGAGTTGAACACAACGAAAACTTCCACTTTATTGGCAGAACAAACTTTTCCTCTTTTTGTTCTCTTTCTTCATTATTTTTTATTTCTTTATTTTGGCCACACTGCGTGGCATGTGGGAGCTTAGTTCCCCTACCGGGGATTGAACCCAAGCCCCCTGCATTGGAAGAATGGGGTCATAACCACTGGACCACCAGGGTAGTCCCATTCCGTCCCCAGTATTCTTTCTAGGAAGAAAGCTTAAAACGTGAAATAATTCTAACCCCCCAGAAATCATACCTCAAAGATCTTTTTTATATTAAATTCATCTTTTTTTTCCAAGCTTTGAGGCTCAAAGATTGGCTTAACTGGGAAGTTATTTGGCTAATCAAAGTTGCCCTTGAAAGTAGGAACAGCTTTATTAGCTTGCCCTTGGCTGAATTACCAAGTAGACAGACAGCCATTGTATGTGAAGTCTTCCTATCTTCCTCTCCTTCCCTTTCCCCTCCTGTAGCTTCCCAGGTCTCCAAGATATGTTTCTACTCTATGGTAAGTTCCATTTGTTTTCTTAGCTTGCTGTTTTCTTCCCTCAAAGATGTGAAATGATAACATTAATTGATAGTAATGTTTTGGCATGACTTTTTCTCAAGACGTCTGTAGAGAACAATCGGAGGCCAGAGAAATGAGGTTATGCCAAAAAATAGGGTTGACAGATTAAAAGGCAGGGGATACCTACTTGTAAAATTGGTTTTAGACTTCGCAGCGGGGTTTTAATGTTATCTGTGCATAGGGTAATGAGCACGTGGAGAGGACTCCCACAGGAGCCACTGTTGCTAAGATGCACTGGGCCATCACGCAGATGCAGTGCAGGTCGGGGAGGGGGATAAAGGAGGGTCAGGAATAATGTACAATCAGCTACTAATTCTTTTCCACATCTGAGTGCAAAGCACCAGCTTCCCTGTGCTGTGGACAGAGCAAGTTAAAAAAAAAAAACCAGCATAGCATCTCTGGAAAATGCCCACCCATGCTGCAGGTGAATTACTGAAGCAGGTTAGTGCTATCATGGGAGATGTGTGAAATGGTGTTTGGAAGATAAAAAGACTAAACCAGAGATCATACAACTCAGGACATTTTCTATTCAGAAATTAACACTCACGTGTCAATATTGTAACCTCAAACAAGACAAAGTTCAAAAAACTAAAGCAGTCTCTCCTTTTTAGTCAGTCAACCATCTTGTTGCTGAAAGCTTTTATAGTGAAAAGGCAGGTGTTATATTGGGTACAAGGATACGGTACTGAATAAAACCAGGTCCTTGATCCAAGCAGCCCAAGTGTGGAAAATATCATGGTGGAGGTAGTGACCATATTAGTGACAGGTGACCATTAGTATACAAATTGGATGTTGGCGCCAAGAGAGGTTGAAAAGGCTGAGGGGACAGCATCTAAGTCATCTCTCAGGGCCTGTGATACTCAGCCGAGTGGAGGTGAGAGTGGGTGTGGGAAACGTGTTGCCAAGAAGCAGGTAACTGCATGTGCTAAGGTATGCAGGTGAACAAGCCTGGCACACCTCGGGAACTGCTGACAGAGGGCTGCAGCATACCTGTAACGCAGAGTGAAGGGTGGGAGCCACGAGAATTGAGATCGGAGCCAAGAGGTATAGAATTGGGGATCTAGGCCAAGGAGTTTGAGAATTTTACTGCCAGCCGTACTGGACCTTTTGAAGGTTTTAAGCAGGGGCATTACAAGGTCAAGTTTGCGATTTAAAAAGAATGGTTGTAGGGGAGCAAAGTGGACCTACTAGGAAGCTATTACAGAAATCCAGAAGGGAGTTCCAGAGCTTGAAAGACCTGTGATCAGATGGTTTTAGAGAGTAAGGGAAAGGAAGACATCAAGAATAACTCCAAGGTTCCTACTTTGGGTACTGGGGGGATGGAAATGTCATCCACTGAAATTGAAATATACAAAATGGAGCAGATTTAAGAGGGAAATTTCCAGATCGTTTTGATACATGTTGAATATGAGAAATGAAAAGGCCTGACAGAAATGTCCTATATACGGGAGACCTGGTTTGATCCCTGGGTTGGGAAGATCCTCTGGAGAAGGGAACAGCTACCCACTCCAGTATTCTGGCCTAGAGAATTCCATGGACTACATTGGTCCATGGAGTCGCAAAGAGTCAGTCACAGCAGAGTGACTTTCACTATACATGTATATACAGGTGAATACAGAGGTCTGGAAGTTGGCAGAAAGCCTTGGGATTTAGGGAAGCCCAGAAGTGGCGTTTATACGAAAAAAGAGATAGAAAAAGGTCTGTTCACAAACTAACCCATCCAGGGGGGTCCCTGATGGCTCCGTGGGAAAGAATCCACCTGCCGATGCAGGAGACGCGGGTTCGATCCTGATCCGGGAAGATCTCATAGGATGCTGCAGAGCATGAGCGTGAGCCACAGTCACTGAGCCTGTGCCCCAGAGCCCACGCTCTGCCAGAAGAGAGGCCACAGCAGGGAGGAGTCCACGCCCCACAACTGGACAGCAGCCCCCACTCACCGCAACTGGAGAAAAGCCCACGCAGCAGCCAAGACCCGGCACAGCCAAAACCGAACCAGAAAGCCTAACAATTAAAACACACACACATTAATAAATGTATTTTAAAAACTAACCCACCCATATTCATATCATTTTAAAACTGTTTTATTCAATTTGCTGGGTTCTCCCCAAGTCTATTTTACTCCACGGAGGGCAGGGCATGCGTGCACAGTCGTCTCTGACTCTTTGCAACCCCATGGACTGCAGCCTGCCAGTCTCCTCTGTCCAGGGGACTCTCCAGGCAAGAATAAAGGGATGTTCTGTGTGTGAAATTACTTTTTAAGCCACCATTCATGCATCTTTCTGATCCTCAGCTTTTTTTTTTTTTTTTTTTTTTACAGAAAATGGCTCTGAAGATATTGACATCCTTCCTAGTGGGCTGGCTTTTATCTCCAATGTGAGTATTTCCCATGCTCCTCAGATGGGCAAGTTAATAGCTATACGGACAGAACATTAGTGTTGCCAACTCAAGTGTCGCCAACACAAGTGTCCCACTTGTGTGTAAACTAGTCAACTAAAAGCACCAAAATGGGATTCCAGAGGCTAACTGAGGCAAGACAGACGTGCCCAGGCTTGCCTACCCCATGGTGGGCAGCTCCCTGTGGGCAGTTATATACCCAGGGGAGTACCGATAAGTGTATATTGAATTCCATTCACTTCCTAGACGAGGCTCCAGATTTGCTCTGCAGCTATCCATCCTCACCATTGCCCTACTGGCTGAGCCTCAGCTTCTGGAAGTCATCTTCTTACTAATCGGTATTCTTCTCATCATGGCTGCCTGAGTTTGGAACTCAGTAAATGTTTGCAGAGTGAATGTTAGCCACGTTACTCAATTCATAACCCTGAGCATTTCCATCTTGGGTTCCTCTTTCAAAGAGGAGTAGGGGAAAATGTGCATTTTATTTCCAGTACCACCTTCACAGGTTTGGGATGATTAGGAAGCTATGCAAAGGACTGAACTTCGACAAATTAAAATGTTATATTGCAAAAATATTGAAAATTATCATATACTTAGTTAAATCGGTTACAATTTGGAGTGGGACTTAGGATTTTGAAAAAAGTAGATATTAATTACATTTCCAATGTGAATTCTGATTGCTGGAATTGCATGTTCTAATATTCCATTTGGGCCAATAAAATACTAATAAAATACTATCAAATAACACATTTAAAAAATCTGTGTCTTTTTGGCCAAAAGCGGTGGGGGGGGGGGGAGGGGCACAGAATACTCCTTAATGGCCCCAGTCCCCAAGTTCCTCAGTACAGTCAGGGTCTGCAGTCAATACGCATTTCAGATTGCTCCTGGTGGGGGTGCATGTTAGGGCAGGTGGGTGGGAAGGATTTTATTTCTTTAGTTTTCCTCCAAAAACTACAGCTGTCTAGAAAAGCTTTTTCTTTGTTGACTTAAATTACCTACTGTCAATTTAGATTTTCAATGTGATGCCCAACAGACTGTTAAAAATAATTATTTTATGGCTAGGAGATGTGTAGTTCCTACTGTATGTTTCTTTCCTATTAATATTTTTACTAGCGCTAAGTGTACTGAATTCTTGTTATGCAACAAGTAGAGATTTTCATCACAAATAATTCTATGAGAAACATTAGCTCTTTCTGCAAAATAACAAACAACTCATTCTTATAGGGTAAGGATAATGTTCTTTGCTTATTTTTAATCTTGCTGTACTGCAATAAATTCAAGTCCTTGCTCTTCTTGGTTACCTCCTGCCCTTTCCTGCCATCCTAGAACATGTTTGGAAGCTGCTGATTTAGGGAGTAATTCCGTGTGATAGATATTTTTAGTCTATTTAGAGGTGCCAAGCAGGCTATTTGCTTCCTTACCTTGGGACTTGACTTGTTCTTTGCCAGCAAGATTACTCCCTTCCTCACATGTGTTGGCATCCAACTCCTAGCTCCCTATGAGGGCTCACTGTAGTGGAGCTTTAATTCCTCAGGAATATCCCTAATACTCTCTTTTCTGGGCAAGGCGGCTCTTCAGTGACCCCACGGTTTCTCTGTGTTAGGGTCTTAGATGCCTCCCCATATCTGATGGGCCTGCTTGGCGCGGCCTCCCTGGATGCCAGTCCTTTCGAGTCTAGGACTTTGGCATGTCTGCTGCCATGCCGCACCTGACACAGTATCTGGCGTACACAGGCGCCTGACTGCTTACTGAACACGTGTCCTAGTGAATGCGGGCCGTGCAGGAGTTCAGTGCTTGTCCACACGTTCCTGGAGTCTGTGGGTGGAAATAAGATGCCTGCACACCCAGGTGATTTTTGCCATTTTCAGGGGTGAACAGTATCTAAACAATTGCAATCATTTGCCAAGATTCTTACCTAACTGCTTTAAACAGAAAACCAAGCAAGTGTAAAGAGGTTCATTTGTCGTGACACTTAATGTGGGCCATGTTTGTTTGCCATGTCCCACCCTTATTCCCCAGTCAGATCATTTCCATTTCCAGAGCACCTGATCCTTCTGCCAGCTGGCAGTGGCCTTACATTCCTCCCAGCTCCCACCAGACTTGCGGTGGGGCTCTGCCCTGAGCAGCGTTCTTGAGCAATAGAATATTCTCTACTGTCAAACCTCTCATTATGGTGTGGCAGAAAGTTGTACATCACTGTGCAACTGATGATCTGAGTGACTTAGGCATTTCACTTCTCTGGGCTTAATTTTCCTTATGTGAAAAGAGACGATCTACCTCAAGTGAAAATGGGAAGAACTGGGTGTCTCTGATGTCTTTCCCCCAATGTCACCATTTTATGTGCCATGGGACTTACTGACAAATTGACTATGAAAGAAGGAAAGGATAGATTTGGAGTCTCAATTGTATGGCCTGATATTGGAGAAAACAGTGATTCCCTTAACGGAGAGTAGATATAAAATGAGAGCAAGGATTTGAGGTGAGACGATTTTGGTTTTGATCATTTGATTTTGAGCTGCCTTTATGAAGAACCTGGGATGCAAGCTAGGGCTCCATAGAGACGTTCCAGGGAACTGTGCATGTTGGATAATTACTGATATAGAAGAAATACCTGAAACCTTATGAATGAGCTCTGCAAGGGAAGAGTGCAGAATGAGAAGGGAGGGATGGATGAGGACAGAAGGAGGGAAGGGCAGGAAAAGAAGCAGTAATTCTATCTGGAAATTCTACTTTTGATTTTTTTATAAGAAATAAAACTTCTACCATAGTGTCAAATGCCACAGAGATACAGATAAGGAAATACAGAAGGATTATTAAATAGGACATTTTGGAGGCCGTTGATATGACCTTTATAGAGGTATTTCTACAAACTGGCAGAATGAGTTGGAGCAATTCAAACCAAGGCACCAAGGTCAAGTGATGTTTCTAAGAAATTTGACAGTGAAAGAAGGTGAGAAAAATGCCTGTTTGAAATAGTAAAGTTGGAAAATATTTGTTTCAGGGAAAGAGCAATGAGCAATTTTTCAGGTAAAAGAAGGGGACACTGGTGAAGAATGAGTGGTGAATTCTAAAGACAGGCCCCAGAGAACAGAGAGTTAACTAAGAACAGAAGGATATTCTTTCCTTAGAAAGGAGGGAGAAAGGATGAGAATTGATAAAACTGAAGAATAAACTGAGGTGGAAAGGAGGGAATCAGGAAATTCATGTTGAATGGCATGGATTTTTTTTCAGTGAAAAAGGAGGTAAAGTCATCCACTGAGAATACAGAAAGATGGTGTGGTCTATGGAAGATAATGAAATAAATCCAGAATAGATACTTAGAGATACACATAGTTTACATATTAAAATAAACACAAATATTGATAAAGAATATTCAATGTCTGGTTGAAGCTGAGATGATAACTTCATAGTGTTTTTCAACCTGATTTTAGACTGCTGCCGCTGCTGCTAAGTCACTTTAGTCGTGTCCGACTCTGTGCAACCCCAGAGACGGCAGCCCACCAGGCTCCCATCCCTGGGATTCTCCAGGCAAGAACACTGGAGTGGGTTGCCATTTCCTTCTCCAGTGCATGAAAGTGAAAAGTGAAAGTGAAGTCCTTCAGTGGTGTCCAACTCTTAGCGACCCCATGGACTGCAGTCTACCAGGCTCCTCCGTCCCTGGGATTTTCCAGGCAAGAGCCCTATATAAAAGCTAGAACAGGGCAAAGAGACTTGATAGAGAACTTGATTAGGAAGCACTGAGCAAAGAGTGAGTCTTCCTCAGAAGAAAGGCTCTTAACTGATGATGGCAAGATTCGAGGTCTGGAAGCAGAAGTGCATAGCTCAGGGCCATTAAAAGACACTTGCTCTTTGGAAGAAAATCTATGACAAACGTAGACAGTGTATTAAAAAGCAGAGACATCACTTTGCCAACAAAGGTGTGCACAGTAAAAGCTATGGTTTTTCCAGTAGTCATGTATGGATGTGAGAGTTGGACCATAAAGAAGGCTGAGCACCAAAGAATTGATGCTTAAACTGTGGTGGTAGAGAAGACTCTTGAAGAGTCCCTTGGACTGCAAGGAGATCCAACGAGTCCATCCTAAAGGAAATCAACTCTGAATATTCATTGAAAGAACTGATGCTGAGCTGAAGCGCCAATACTTTGGCCACCTGCTGAGAAGAGCTGAATCAGTGGAAAAGACCCTGATGCTGGAAAAGATTAAGGGCAGGAGGAGAAGGGCATGACAGAAGATGAGACAGTTATATGACATCATCGACTCAATGAACATGAGTTTGAGCAAAGTCCTGGAGATAGCAAAGGACAGGGAAGCCTGGCCTGCTGCAGTCCATGAGGTTGCAAAGAGTCGGACACGACTTAGCAACTGAACAACAACAACAGGGGCATACTGATCTGTCCTCTACGTGTGGTGACTTAAGGAGGACGAATGATAGAGGGAATAGCCCTTCCACCGATGGGCTTCAGTGGCTGGTATTATCTGAGGAAAGCCAGGTTCCCATAAGATTTAAGCATAGAAGGACTATTCTAAGAAAAGTTTGAAGATATACAGGCAGAGTTATTTGCTGCAGTCCATGGGGTCACAAAGAGTCGGACACAACTGAGTGACTCAACAACAACAATTTGGAACTGAAGACCTACTCTCCTAGAGGTCAGGGGGTGGGGCAATGGAAGGGCCAGAATAGTATGAGTAAGAGAGAGAGTATGTGTGTGTGTGGGTGTGTGTGTGTGTAAGAGAGGGAGGGAGGAAGGGGAGAGAGAGTACAAGGGAGAAGTTAAGAGTAGAAAGAAAGAGAAGGAAAGAATTTAAACTGGGTATAAGTAGACATGAGTGTACAAGAAAATATACAAGGTTGTTGATGGTTACATACATCAGAGTGATAGAGGAAGGATACAGGAGGAAGTAGGCTGAGTTTTATAATTAGTATAGAATAAACCAATCCTAAGTTTTGACACTGGGACCTGGGATGCAGGAAAGGTCCAATACATTCAGGACACCTATTATTGGTTGATAAACACCTTGTCCTTCCAGTAGAAACAGCCACTGTACAAGTTACTGGAATGAACGTTTTACAATATTTGGAGAAAAGGATTCACATTCAAATCTTTGGACTAATCTGTAGGAACCAAACAGGTCAGAAATAGTCAACTCAATGAAACTGGTTCTCCTACTAGTTTTTAGCTGATCCTACTCTTCATCATTTAACAATGCTCCCACCCTACATTGTTATATTATGTAATGACAAACAGAAAAGGCCCTGATGCTGGGAAAGACTGAGGGCAGGAGAAGAAGGGGATGACAGAGGATAAGATGGTTGGATGGCATCACTGACTCAATGGACATGGGTTTGGGTGGATTCCGGGAGTTGGTGATGGACAGGGAGGCCTGGCATGCTGCAGTTCATGGGGTTGCCCAGTCGGACATGACTGAGCGACTGAACTGAACTGAATCGAGGGTGGGAGCAGTGTAATGAAACCATACACCCTAGGACTAGAAAGAGCCTTAGTAATTAAGTATTTTAACTTCCACATTTTATAAATGAGTAACCTGTAGCTTAGGCAGGCCAAGGGACTCAAACAATTGAGTAATTGTAAAGTAACTGTAGTTGTAAAAGTAATTGTAAAGTAATTCAGCTTAGTCTCTTGTATTATGCTCTTTGGTTTAACCTCCTCTCTATATATTAAAAACTGAAAATAGGTTCTTCCCATATTCCCATTCCCAACAGCTTAGATGACACTGGTAATCCTTCAGATCAGATAATGGCAACACTAGACAGTGTAAAAAAATCCCAGAAATCTATAAAAGAAATTTAGAGCTTTGAACATTTTTGTTTCTCTGTTTCTAAAAGGGATTAAAATATTCAGGCATGCCAGACCTTGCACCAGATGAGCCAGGACGAATCTTCTTGATGGATTTAAATGAGCAAAACCCAAGGGTCCAGGAATTAAACATCAGTGGTGGTTTTGATAAAGCATCCTTTAATCCACATGGAATGAGTACTTTCATTGACAAAGGTAAAGCCTGAATGCTGAAGAATAAGGGGGAAATGAGGGAAATACAAACCACTCATCCTCAAACTACCCAGCATGTATGCCAAAGGAGGGAAGATGCTATTTTACCATAAAGGTATATATTTGTGAGATAATAAATGTATATAAGAACATTTTTTTAATTGCATAAAAGAGGGGAAGACTAGATTGTGGTCACACCCTCTTTCTCTTATTCCCTTTTCATCTCACCATCAAAACCAGTCTGAATGTTGTTCTCAGAAATCTAACATATAAACTAAAGGCCCTTTGAAAATAATCATGTGACATTATGCTGCTGCTAAGTCACGTCAGTCGTGTCCGACTCTGTGCAACCCCAGAGACGGCAGCCCACCAGGCTCCCCCATCCCTGGGATTCTCCGGGCAAGAACACTGGAGTGGGTTCCCATTTCCTGCTCCAATGCATGGAAGTGAAAAGTGAAAGTGAAAATGTGACATTATAGAACAACATAAAAGAAAACAATGGACGAATTAGACATGATCAAAATTAAAATCTTCAAAAGATACAACCAATATACCACAGGTAACTCTGCTCAAGGTTGTATGGCAGCCTGGATGGGATGGAGTTTGGTGGATAATGGATACATGTATGTGTGTGGCTGAGTCCATTTGCTGTTCACTTGAAACTATCACAACATTGTTAATTGGCTATGCTTTAAGATAAAACAAAAAGTTTATTAAAAAATAATAAAATACCAAAGTGGTTTACCAGGTGATACACTTCTATTAAGATGAGCTAAATAAAGAAAAAGCACCACCAAGAAAGTGAAAAACAACCTAATGAGTAAGAGGAAAAGATTTGCAAATCAGATATTTGATGAGGCTTATATCCAGAATATATGAATAGTTTTTACATCTCAACCAAAAAGACAAATAACCTGATTAAATAATAGACAAAGATCTTAGCAGATCCTTCCAAAGAGATATACAAATGGTCAATAAACATATGAAAAGATACTCAGTATCCTTAGTTATTAGGGAAATGCAAATCAAAACCATAATGAGTCCACTTTATAACCACAGAGCAGCTACAATAAAAAAAGACAGACAATAACAAGCATTGGCAAAGATGTAAGGAAGTTGACATCCTCACACTTTGCTGGTGGGATTGGGTGCAATCACGGGTGAAATCATTTTAGCAGTTGCCCAAAATGTTAAATCTAGAATTGCCACATGATGCAGAAACTAGTCCTTGGCACATACCCAAGAGAACTGAAAACATAGGATCATACAAAAACTTACACACACATTGTCATAGCAGCATTACTCCTAACATGCGAAAGGTGAAAATAATCCAAATTCCCATGAAATGATGAATGCATAACCAAAAGGTGGTATGTTTATACAACGGAATATTATTTGGCAATAAAAATAAATGAAGTACTGATGAACCCTGTAAGCATTACCCTAAGTGGAAGAATTCAGTCACTAAATGCCACATGCTGTTTGATTCCATTTATATTAAATGTCCAGAACAGGTACATTTATAGAGACAAAAAGTAGATTCATGGTTGGCAGGGACTCAGGACAGTGGGGAATGGGGGGTGACAGCCAGTGGATATGGGGTTTCTGTGGGGGGTGATGAAAATATTCTGGAACTAGATAGTGGCTCTGGCCGGACAACTCTGTGAATACAGTAAAAACACTAAACTGTACATTTTCAAAGTGTGAGTTTAAAGACACGTGAATTATATCTCAAAAAAGCTGTCACAGAAAACAGCATAGTTATGAATACACTGTATTACATATGCTTTAAAATATTATTTTTCTTTATAGTGTATAACTCCAGACTAACAACTTGTAAATATTTGTGGGTCTATGGATCATGTAAAATATAAGAAGAATGAAACCTTTCTAGTAGTAATGACATGAAAAGGAGGAGAAATGGAAATGTTGCAAATCAAAATTTTTCAATGAATGGTGTTTTAATTCTTTCAAATACATACTGGAGTTACAATGCATTGTTAAATATAAATTTGCTAGAGTAATTTCAATGAACAAAAAATTATTAATAATTATCTCAGTCCACTTATCCAGTCGATGTTTCATCCCTTTCATCTGAACCAACAGAGACTTGCTAATTTTTAAATAAATGGGTAACTTTTAAATAGCTCAAAGCTTTTCTGTTGTTCAGTCACTTAGTCCTGTCCAACTGTTTGCGACCCCATGGACGGCAGCACCCCAGGCTTCCCTGTCCTTTACCATCTCCCGAAGCTTGCTCAAACTCATGTCCATCGAGTCAGTGATGCCATCCAACCATCTCATCCTCTGTCGCCCCCGTCTCCTCTTGCCTTCAATCTTTCCGAGCATCAGGGTCTTTTACTAAGGTAAATATTCCCCTGAAATCTGTAATAATATATGACATGCATTTGCTTAGCAAGCTCTTCTTTAAAAGATAATTGTACCTAACAGTTTTATATTGTTCTTCAGTTCATAAAGCCCTCTCATATATAATTTATTCCTCAAAACAAAACACTGGGCCCAACCTTGACTCTTCCCCTCTGCCTGCCTCATTCAGTTGACTAGCTACAATGTTCTGTCCAACTCACCCCTCACAGAACTCTCCAAGCCGCTTGCCTCTCCCTATCCTCACTGCACCATCCCAGTCCTGGTCCCCAGCATGTCTTTCCTAGATTCTATAGGGGCCCCTGATGGCACCTGCCCTCTTGTATCACTTCAAATCATTTTTATAAGCAAGTAGTTATTTTCTGTGCAAATGTAGTCATGTCACTCCTTTCTGAAAACTCACCATCACTCTCAGAAGAGACAGTTGTTTTTTCTTTTTTAAGATAGGACCATTTACTGATTAATCCTCAGGCATATAAGCAGGTTTTCAGAAACTGAGTGTATTATTATAAACATCTTATTTTATTTGTTAGTGACCTCCCTTAATTATGTATTTTATTCACAAGGCCAAAACATTATACATAAATTGGCATGAATGAGAAGATAGAGAACAAAAGTCTTCTCACCAGACATCTCTTAAATGAAAAAAGGTCTTAAGAAGGGGGTAAAGCCAGGGCAGCACATACATTTTTCATGCTGTGACCAGCAAGAGTGTCTTGTTGAAGGGCCACGTGGGGACTAAATCCTATTCATGTTCTGTCTGTCGAGTCCCTGGAATAGAGTTGGGTCAGACCAAAAGAAAGGTTCTTCTGTGAGGGAGCACTTTTCCTTAAATCAGATAAAGCTGCCTGTGTGTTTCAGGGGCCCTGAGGATAAGCCCCACATCTCAGGGCTCCAGCTTCCAGCTTGCTCCACTGCATAATTGGAAACCCCAAGAAGGGAACTGAGGAGATGAATGCAGATCCAGTCCGGAGTGGAAGCACGGGCCCAGGCTTTTTCAAACTCTGGAGCTCATCTGATTTAGAGCTCCTGGTAAGTTAGAAAAGACTACTCTGATAAGCCAGAGTGCTGCCCCTAATCTGGTTCACATCACAGCAGCTCATATTGCAGTATGAGAACAGACAGGTGAAAATTCCTGAGGCTAGTTAGAACCTAGAATTGGCTAATCTATCTTCTCCTACTAACTTCCCTGGTGGCTCAGAGGGTAAAGCGTCTGCCTACAATGTGGGAGACCTGGGTTCAGTCCCTGGGTTGGGAAGATCTCCTGGAGAAGGAAATAGCAGCCCACTCCAGTATTCTTGCCTGGAAAATCCCATAGATGGAGGAGCCTGGTAGGCTATAGCCCATGGGGTCACAAAGAGTCGGACACGACTTAGTGACTTCGCAATTAATTATCTTCTCCTACATTCCTATTTACAATTCACATCCATTGGGTTCACAAATAAATACCGTTTCTGCAATCTCAGGTAGGGTGACTTGTGTTAGGAGTTCATTCTGTAACTGGGAGGTGTTTATTTTAATATTCTTATGCAGGCCTGATACCTCTTGAATGTGTGTTGCAATGTAGGCAGTTCTCACAGAAAAGAATTCTTGGGAAAGCTTCACTTGCTTGTACCCACTTCTGTTTGCTGCAAGACCACCTTGGGAAACCACATCTATGTTTAATCACCATGGTAGTTCTGCATCTTCCTGTTAGAGAGGGTGTGCAGGTGAGGCTGAAGGGAGCATTGCAGAAATATCTGGGCTTGGCTTTGCCACTGTGTGGTGGTAAAATTGCTCATAAATCATTAACCTTCTGAGCGTCAGTTTTTTCAATAAAATGGGATTCTGGCATTTGTTTGACTTACATCAGATGGGTTGTGGGGATCAGATACAAGATGTGTAAGGAAGATCCCTGGACATAATCAAGTTCTATACTATGTCTAAAATAGTTGAAATAGAAGCCAGCTTCTTGGAAATTATGCCTTTTCTCCAATTTAGACCAATCTGTGTATCTTTATGTTGTGAACCATCCCCACATGGACTCCACCGTGGAGATATTTAAATTTGAGGAACAACAACGTTCTTTGGTATACCTGAAAACTATAAAACACAAACTTCTCAAAAGGTATGTGATTATTTTGCACTTCTATTTATTTTGCACCTCTGCTGTATGCTTTCTTAGTTCAGCAGGCTGTCTTAAACTTTTGTTTTGAAGCTTTTTCCCCTAAAGCTTTCTAAAGGTTCCCATGGTGACACTGCCCAGCACCTCCCTAGAAATTGCTGTGTTTGGTATTGAATATCTGCAACTTCTGGAAAGCATTTTAATCCTATAAAGGTGCTCAGTTAGATTCCCAAGCTCTAATTCCATCCTCGGTAACACTACAGTGCAGTACCTGCTATTGGGCTCTTTAAACACCCACACCCTCTAGTTGTCCTAGTAGGTGGTAATCTCAAAGCCACACCCACTGGGTGTTATAACCAGCCTCCAGAAGGACCATTCCTTTGTTCAATCAAAGTTTTAAAGTAGAATTTGAAGGGGGGAAAAAAAGGCCTGTAGGCACAAATTCACACTTATCAAGTGTTGACTATGTGCCAGGCTTTCTGCCAAAAGGGGAACCTGATCCACCCCTTCTCACAACTGCCTTTAGTGACAGGCAGGAGTAAACAGACAGAGGAGTTTGGGGCCAAGTTACGTAACTTGTAAGTGGCTGAACTAGGTGTAAACCTTGATGCCTCTGAACTCAAAGCTGGGCTCTTATTCACTGTGGTGAACATCTTTGAGAAGAATTCTAAGTGTTTTTATGGGCTAGGTTGCCTGTTCCAAGCCTGTAATGAACGATGAAGAATCTCTTATAAAACAGACTCAGCACTGAGACTGGTTCCAAAACAGTAGAGGTTCATCTTCGCATCAGGTAGAAGAGTAGGGAAAGCAAAGGAACCAAGCTCATCTTTTCTCCTTTGCTCTCTTTCTCAATGACGTATTTTAATTTCTCCAAACAGAATTAGGGGATAACAAAAGCAGAGGGGAGGACGTAAGAGAACGTAAGGTTGTTGACTTTTCCCACGATGCGTCGTGCTGGGTTCTGAGGCATGGTGGGGACTAGGACTGCCACACGGTAAATGAGAAACTGTGGACCCACCTCTTAACCTGTGCTTCAGTGTTCTTCAGCAAAACAGGGGTTCTCTCACAGGCCCGATGACCTACCTGGTCACCTCATGGGAAGCTCCTCAGCATAGCCTGAGGGAAAACTCGAGACACAAGTCCTTTATTAGGGAGGACCAGCCCAGGATGCAAAAGTCAGAGGCCAACCTGAGGCAGGGGAAGGGGAGTGTCATAGGTTGAACTGTGTCCCTTCAAAAATATAAAAGTGAAATTTTAACCCCCCTCCCATACATCAAAACATGACCTTATTTGGAAATAGGATGTTTGTAGATGTAATTAGTTAAGATAAGGCTGTATTATAGCCCATCTTTAATCCAATATGATGGATGTCCTTATAAGACAGACAGCAAATGAGACAACAAATCTGTGCCTCTTGATGAAAGTGAAAGAGGACAGTGAAAAAGTTGGCTTAAAACTCAACATTCAGAAAACTAAGATCATGGCATCTTGTCCCATCACTTCATGGCAAATAGATAGGGAAACAATGGAAACAGTGACAGACTTTATTTTTCTGGGCTCCAGTATCACTGCAGATGGTGACTGCAGCCATGAAATTAAAAGATGCTTACTCCTTGTAAGAAAAGCTATGACTAACCTAGACAGCATATTAAAAAGCAGAGACATTAGTTTGTCAGCAAAGGTCCATCTAGTCAAAGCTACGGTTTTTCCAGTTATCATTTAGGGATGTGAGAGCTGGACTATAAAGAAAGCTGAGCACTGAAGAATTGATGCTTTTGAACTGTGGTGTTGGAGAAGACTCTTGAGAGTCCCTTGGACTGCAAGGAGATCCAACCAGTCCATCCTAAAGATCAGTCCTGGGTGTTCATTGGAAGGACTGATGCTGAAGCTGAAACTCCAATACTTTGGCCACCTGATGCGAAGAACTGACTCACTGGAAAAGACCCTGATGCTAGGAAAGATTGAAGGCGGGAGGAGAAGGGGACGACAGAGGATGAGATGGCTGGATGACATCACCGATTCAATGGACATGAGTTTGAGTAAACTCTGGGAATTGGTGATGGACAGGGAGGCCTGGCATGCTGCAGTCCATGGGGTGGTAAAGAGTTGGACATGACTGAGCAACTAAACTGAACTGTACTGATACAGGAGAGAGTCTATAGTAAATATATTTGTCAAGTCAGACACTAAGTGTACAGCTAAGTGTAACTGACTACTTAAAATCATGGGATTGCCCTCCAATAAGCAACATAAGCATCATTTCAAGACAGTCCAGTCAAGATAAGAGAGGAAGAGGAATTTATCCACCAGCCGCATCTTTTAGTAGTCAAAGGTTTACTTCAAGGGGTATTAATTCCTGCACGTAGCTCCTTATGCATGTGCAAGGCAAATCTGGTGATATCCTGTGCTTTCATATCAATCTGGAAGCCTGGAAGTAGGAGTAAAAGGCCCGTAACAGACATGGGCAAGGCACTAGAAGGGTGCACTGTGGAATTCTGTCAGGTCCTATGCAGAGCTGGGTGAGACAGTGCCAGCTGAAACAGAGCAGGTGTGCTTTGAGGACTTTGAGGGGTGCCCTGATAAACACAATGACAAGGCATTTCAAGATGTGGAACAAAGTGCTACAGGACATATTATGAGGGAGTTTAACTTAATCTATGGTGTTGGGCAATACCTCTTGGAAGAAGGATTGTGTAAACTGAGACCTAAAGCCCAACAAACTTGGGAAAATCATTATACACCAAAACCTCAAAGTATCTCCTGATTCATCCAAATTTTTCTTTCCTAAATTAAGTCTAAACTTGTATGGGTGTAACTGAATCACTTTGTTATACACCGGCAACTAACATCATTGTTAACTGAGTATACTCAGTTATAAAATAAAATAAAAATTTAAAGTATAAAATATAAAAAAGTATTAAAAAATATAAAAAAGTATAAAATAAAAATTTAAAAATTCATGTATACCACTAGAAAGGGTGGCACATTAAACTTATTGACAGTATTGTGTATTTTACAAAGTTGCATAAAGGAGCTTCACACACACACACAAAGTTCAATTTTTTTTCTTGCATTTTTTTAAGTCATCTCTTTTTTTCTTTTCCAAAATGGAACTGACTTTGTTTTTATTGGCATTCGTTGTAAGAGTAAGACTTGCTTCATTTAAATTTTGTAATGGTACTGAAGAACATAAATAAGAAACGAATAACACTCATAATCCCACCTATGCAGAGAAAATATAAAGGTCAGGCTGATCTGGGTCTTGGTGCAATAGCAGAAAAGAAAAACCCTAACTCTTTCACAGCTCAAACCCATGAAGTTGTTTTGTTTTCTCACTCATGCTGTATGTCCACTGTAGGCTGGGGAAGTCAGCTGTATGGTGTCCTCATGTAGTACCCTGAGAGGACCACACTTTATCAGAAAAGTTGCTGGTTACTGTGGGAGAGTGAGGGAAGCATTCTAGCTCTCACCCTCCCATCTCGAAAGCTAATATATCATTTCATTTTTTGGCCAGAGCAAGTCACACAGCTGTGCCTAACTCCAAGGGCACGGAGAAGCCTAATTCAAGAGAGAAGAGAACCAGAACTACTGGTGAATTGCACTATGACCACCACAGATAACTACTATTAACATTCGCAAGTTAACAGATTTAGATTTGGGGTTTATCTGTAAACTTATTTATTTCTGCTGACTTCTATGGAAGGGAAGAGTGAGCAAATAACAAGTGGCTAAAAGAAAACCCATCAGGGCAATGAAAAGCCATGTACTCTCTGTGGAATTCTTTAATCCAGACTAGTTCTTGTATAATTCTTCAAGCTGGTCAATTTATTGGTCTTTGAGATTTCATGATTTTAACTAGTCCATGGTTTGTTTGTTTTCCCCCTCTCTGTCTCTCTCTTTTTTTTCATTTTAGTGTGAATGATATTGTGGTTCTCGGACCAGAACAGTTCTATGCCACCAGAGACCGCTATTTTACCAACTTCTTGGCACTGTTCGAGTTTGTCATGGATCTTCGCTGGACTCATGTGCTTTTCTACAGCCCAAGAGAGGTTAAAGTGGTGGCCAGCGGATTTAGTTCTGCCAATGGAATTACAATCTCACTAGACAAGAAGTAAGCTCTTTTCTGAATTTTCAACCCTTTACCCTTGATGTTCTTGTGGACTCCATCCCTGAAGAAGTGGTTACATCTTGAGGCTTAAGTACTCAACAGATGTGTGCAGGGATCCAGTGTGGCAAGGGTTCACACTTAATGTGTGATCTTAAGCCACCCTTAATGTCATTGCCCTTGTGCACAATGAAATGAAGGATCTGGACCAATGGATATGAGGTCCTTGTTTCAAATTCTCTTTTTTTTTAAGAGAAAAAGGGATATATGTTTTCTTGTTTAACAAAATGAATTAAATATATGAAGCTTCAGCTCAAATTCGATATAAAATTACAGAGGTCTGGGGCCATGAGTTGTGGGGTGACAGATGCCTGGTCCCGAGGTGGGTATCCAGCATGGCCACAAGGCCAGGTAGGTCTTGGGCTCCAGGAGAGAAAAAGTCTCTGTGGCCCAGCCTTCTTTTCATCATTGTTAATATTATTATGTTAATTTCTTACATTTCAAGGGCCCCGTCCTTCTGGCCATGGGAGGCTAGGTGAGACAGGAGGCTGGCTGGGATGGGAGGCACCCCCAGCCTGCCCCATGTTAGGGCAGTACCTAGCACTACTCTGCCCTGCCCCCTGGTCTGGGTACTGGTGGACTCCTGGACACCTAGGACAGCTGGTAGCAAAAATAGCCTGGGCAGGGACATAGGCAGGCAGGCATAGTTTGCTCCAAATTCCTGTGTGACTAAAAAGAATAAATGCATAGTACTTCTATTCTTTATGAGGTCAGAAGGACTTTAACCACTTATACTAAGTTCAGTTACCCAAAAGTTCATTTTAGATAGGGAGGTCCAACTTAGACTGAGTATTGTGACTGTATAAGTGGCAGACTTCCTTTTATACTACAGCAGATTTTTCTATGAGAAAATGCTATTTTATGCAGTATAAAATTTTATGAGAGACATACTTTTAAAGTGTTTTAAAATGGAAGGTTATTTAAAAAGAAGAATACCATGAAAATTAAATGTAATGGTAAGACAGTAAGTAGAGATGATCCCTGTGGAAAACAACTCTAAGTATTCCTCCTCTTTTTAAAAATGATTGTGATTGAGTTTCATGATCATCTGCTACATCTTTTCAAGCGCTAGTTTCAAGCACTAGAAGTATAGAATCTATTGGCCTTATAAGAGATCCACTTACCTCCATTCAATTTAAAGAATAAAGTGTGACTCTTTTAACTAATGAGACTGAGCCTGTACAGCATTTGGAAACACCAATTCCATTGCTTTTGGTCAAATTTCATATTCAAAGCTTATTAAAGTACTTCAAAACATTCAACATACTACTCCATTATCTTTCACTGTGGTTTAGCAAGGTATTACATGGGCACGTTGAGTTATTGTGAATTTGCATACCTCTTTTCCAAAATAAGAGTGTCATCTTTCATTATTACTTGCTTAAATGTAAATGTTGTTTACTTCAAAGGTATATCTATGTAGCCGATATATTGTATAAGAACATTCATGTTATGAAAATACAAGACAACTGGGATTTAACTCAACTCAAGGTAACAGTACCCTGGTTTCCCACACAACATGTTCCATTAGCTTCCAAGCTTGACCTGGGAATGTACTTCTTGAATGAAGGAAATGAGACTATTTTAGAAGAATGATGGTGACATTATGTTTGCACTTAGAAAATTCAGTAGCAAAAATATCAATTTGGGGAGCCAGAAGGAGCTGGTAGGAGGGAGGCGGGAGGGATGAAAGTCAGAACAATGTTTCACTGCTTCCTCTTTGTTGGAAGGCAATCCAGTTGGACACCTTAGTGGATAACTTAACTGCTGATCCTGACACGGGAGATATTTTGGCAGGATGCCATCCTAATGCTATCAAGCTGCTGATGTATAACACTGAGGATCCTCCAGGGTCAGAAGTAAGTTCTTAGACTTACCTGAACTGCAGGGGAAAGCTGCAAGAACAAATAATGTGTGGAGGTGACTTGGGAGAATTTAGCATGTCATATGTGATGTTCCAGAACTGAACAAATTCTGCATATGGAAAGAGTAAGATTTGGGACAGGATGGGGAGATACAGCCCATTAACCCTTTCCAGTCACCTGGTACCAGCTAACCATCAGTGCTAAACAACATATCCCATCCATGCAAAGGCTATACTTGTTATTGGAAAACATGGATACCAGTCCATGGCCCAGGGGACTGGGGAACCCTGGTTTAAATGACTGTAATCTCAAAGCAAAATTAGATTTTGCCAACAGTTCCATTATATATGAGAGTGCTGAAGAATGTCTCATTTTAAAGATGTTATTTTAAATCTCTTCTAAAATAATATCATACACCATTGAATTTTATATGGCATTAAAAACAACAGCATAAAGTACTGCAATTTCTACAGCATTATGCTTAAGAATTAAAAAAACCTCTAGTGAGTTTAAATATAGATATAAATTCTTGGCACACATACTATGAGAGATTTATTCTCAAAAATTTATTGAGCACTTATAATGCACTAGACTTTGTTCTCATACTTAGAATATATATCAGAAAACAAAGCATACCAAGATCCCTGCTGTTAGGGAGGGAGACACTCAATGAACAATAAGCATAAGAAATAAGTAAATTATATATTAATAGTAAGTTTGAAGTTGGAAAGTCCTATGGAAGAAAAAGCATAACAGTAAAAGGGATCAGGCCTGCTGTGAAGAGAGAGACAGCAGGTCTTAGTAAAACAGAGACCAAGACAGACCTCACCGAGAAGGTAAGATTCTAACAAAGATATGATGTTTGAATCTAGGTTTGGGGTGTTGGGAAATTAAGCCTCAAACACCACCCTGGTAATTGGTCCAGTGGGTAAAGAACATACTGCTTCCAAAATCGCTATTCTTCAGTTTAGTTTTTTTTTTTTTTAATTTGTTTCTTAAGATTTCCTGGCAATCCACTGGTTAAGATTCTGTGCTTCCAATGCAGGGGCTCACATTTGATCCCTGGTTGATGAACTAAGATCCCACATGCTGTGCAGTACAGTGAAAATAAATAAAAACTTAAAACCTTTTTTTCTTCTATTAACAAATTAGTCACAACTTTTATTTTTTATTTTTTGGTCACACCGCATAGCTTGTGAGATCTTAGTTCTCAGACCAGAGACTGAACCCATGCCCTCGGTGGTGAAATTGTGAAGTCCTAACCACTGGACCTCCGGGGAATTCCCTAGTCACAGCTTCTTGACAAAAAACATAACAACCAAAAAAAAAAAAAGCCCCAAACATCAAAAAATATAAAAAGTACAGTCTGAGACTAGAGCCTAAAGAATCTGACCCTGAGCTAGCAAGCTACCCTAGCCTCAGATGTGTGCCTCACAAAGTGATACATATAGCTTTTCTACAAATGTCCAACAATAATGTCTGCTTTAAAAGAACAAAAGAAAATATGATCCATAGAATGATTTGAAAATTTCTTAGGCTCTTTTTCATGTCTCCATTTTCAAGTTTAATCATTTGTTTATTTTAGGTAAGACTTCTTTCTTCACAATCTCTGACACCCTTTATTTTTGGTTGAGGCTAATGTTTACAACATGAGTTCCATCTTGAGTATTTCCATGTAACAAACCTGAGATAAAGTTGTAGGATCTTCCTTAAGATAGGAACTTAGAAAAAAAAACAAAAAAAACTCTACTAAACTCTGTTTTAATAAGAGATGTCGATATAGACTCATGAACTCCTAATTCGTTTTCTTTAATTCACATCATGTCCTAATTTGAGTGAACTTCATCCAAGCTATTTGGAAACCTGAGCACTTATATATTTACTGATTAGCAAACTAAAGAGTGTTAATCTTGCAGATCAAAAATAGGACTAGGCAGTTGTGTCAGACCAATTCCAGAATATGCATTCTTTGCGCTTACTTCCCTAAGTGGGGGCTGCAGCTCTGAAAACTACCATCCACTGGTTCTGGCTTGGTTCGGCTGGCTAACTCGCTGTCACTCATTATTTTGCTCCACGTTTACCTCCCCATGCTGTATGCCCAGTGAAAGGCAAGACCCTTTCTACAGAAGGAAGACTGCACACTCAATTAGATAAGAGCATTCATGGTTCTTACCTGTCTCTATAGAGATGCCTGAACTATCAAAACTGTGGAAACCATCTGTTAAAGAATTTGGCTGATGTGAGATTACTAGCCCACTTGATTAGAAACATTAATAATTTCATCAAAATAAGAAAAAAAAGGCTGAAGATGCACAGATTTTAACTTACTGATTTCTGAGAATTGTACAAGTCCTGGAGTGTTTGGGAAGGAAAATGTCTCTGACAGCTGTTTGTTCTTATATCTACTAATGAACGTTCTTTCTTGACAGGTACTTCGCATCCGGAATGCTTTGTCTGAGAAGCCCGTGATAAGCACCATGTACGCCAACAATGGCTCAGTACTTCAGGGTAGCTCTGTGGCCTCTGCGTACGGGGGGAAGCTTCTCATAGGCACTGTATTTCACAAAGCCCTGTACTGTGAGCTCTAGACTCCAGACATCCCCCAAATTCTACACGTTTGGTAAAAGTAAACCCCTAATTATATGATTAGTGGAACTCGAAGTAAATGACAAACACCAATAAAAGTGTGTCCAGCTTTTCTTATGCATAGACATAAAGAAGCAGAGAGATTACATAATATTCCCCTAATTGCAAGTTAAGTTAGCGACAGTCTGACAAGAAGCCAAACCTCTCAATTCTTTAACCTACTATTCCCATTATTCTTTCTACAATAAGACATGTGAGCTGTGATGAGTGAGGCGTCCAGCTCACTTGGTAGCTGTGTGGCAAAATTACCTCATATGCTGCTCTGAGCCTCCTGCAGTCCAGACCAGGAGAAGAGGTCATGTTCAAATATTTACAGTCCCCCTTCTCTTCCTTCAATTGCACGAGACACAAACTGCCAGTCACGTGCCCAGCACATAGATAAAAGCAAGAATTGGCACTGTGAGACTGCCCAAGCCCTCCCTGAACTGGCCTTCTCCCAACGCAGACACACAGGAAGTCAGATTCTGGAAAACCTGACAAGGGCAGATGGCACTGTCTGCTTTAAGCCGGGGCAGGGCTAATCTGCTCTTTGTAACAGGTCATTATGTATGGCGATATCTGGTCTCTGAAGTGAAGTGTTGTTACCAGCTTGACTCTGAACTAGGAGACAGGGCCTCAGAACTGTTAATCCTCAGCTGCTTTAAACTTGTTATTTTGGTTGATTCAGTAAACACTTATTAAGCAACATTCCACAGACTTGACCCTAAAAAATTTGAAATAAATAACACAGTATAGTAACAAAGTATTATCTTAAGGACACAACCTTAGTTTGATGAGAATGTATACTCATTCATTTGGTCAAATGAATGACTTTCTTGGTCAAAAATCAAGACAACCTTTAGCAAATCATTAACGTGGCTTAGTATACCCCAAGCACCCCACCCCCTCCCCCTTCCCTTTTCTGTGACTTTCACTGAGAAGTGGTTGGTTGATATATTTTTCTCTTCTGAGGATGGGGTGTTGGGGTGACTTCTTTAATGTCCTAAATTATTTTGCTCAGTTAGACGTAAGTTTTGTTGAAAAGTTTTGTAGCCAGGTAAAATTCTACTTTTTAGCCCATATTAGCCTTTCTGATTCAGACAATAAAACTGTGGTTTCCAGATTCCCCTGGTGGCTCAGATGGTAAAGAGTCCACCTGCAGTGCACGAGACCCAGGTTCCATCCCTGAGTCAGGAAGATCCCCTGGAGAAGGGAATGGCTACCCACTCCAGTATTCTTGACTGGAGAATCTCATAGACAAAGGAGCCTGGCGGGCTACAGTCCACGGGGTCACAAGGAGTCAGACACGACTGAGCAACTAAGCACCCAACACAAATTGTGGTTTCCATTGCTTTAGAGGATGAATGACTCAGCAAAATGTTACAGTCACTTTTCGGATTTTACATTTCAAAAGGCTAACCATTGGGGAGACACAGAGAAAAATAACTAACAGCATGTATATAGCCAGTTTTGGAAAATACAATCTTTTTTTTTTTTTTCTTTCTGTCTTTAACTTATACACCTGCAAATTAGATAAAGTTTATCTGACTAAGGGAGACTTGGAAAGCCAAAGATGAGAAGAATAAGCGTATTTAGATGCCGGTGGGTTCATAAGAATTTACCCTCTTCTTCTCCGGGCAATTTAGGAAAGGCTGCATGATAAAATCCTCAGAGAGATGGGGGGCGATCTCATTGCTAGAGACCAATATGTCCTTTCACAGTGAAGGCCTAGGAGAGATAAAGCCCTGGTGTTTCCCTTCATGTAGGCACCTCCAAATTGTATGCAATTACCTTGAGCCTCTTCCCTTACTTGGTTTGGGAAGGAGGGGGACTGCCCCCCACAGTAGAGGCTGTATTTTGATGATTCACTGCCTTTTCTTCCCCAGTCTTTCTGTTTAAATTGTCAGAGATGCAGGTGGTGATACTAGAATGATGATGAACTCTTGGTTGAGCTCAGGAAAGTAAAGAGCAAAAACCAATGTGATTGACAGCTCCAAGATGGCCCCTGCTGCTGCTAAGTCACTTCAGGCGTGTCTGACTCTTAGCAACCCCATGGACTGCAGCCTACCAGGCTCCTCCATACATGGAATTTGCCAGGCAAAAGTACTGGAGTGGGTTGCCATGCCTTCTCCAGGATGGCCCCTGATGATGTCTAATTTCTGGTATTCATTCTTTTGCACAGTTCCCTCCTACATCAAATATGGCTGACGTGTAATTAACAGGATATTCTAGATGATGATGCATGGCTGTTAAGGCTAGGTTATACAAAAACTCTTCCATTTCTGTTTTGTTCACAAAAAACTATGCATCATGATAAAAGTTTCTGACTGCTTTAAGATGCTAAGTTCAGAAGTACTTCGTAATCGTCAACTAACGAAACAGAAAATCACACATAGCATAGAGATTAAACAACAACCCAAAGTTCATCCTTTAAAAAAAATAATAATAAAACCTGACACACATCTGGTTGGATTTATGAATAAAAAAGAATGGCTCAATTATCCAGTGTCAGAGATGAAAAATAAGACAAGCAGATGCTGTATACATTAGAGAGATAAAAAGGGTTTGATGCACCAGCTTGTGCCAACGAATTTGAAATTTTTATGAAAAGAACAAACTCCTGGAAAAAAATAACACTATTAATTGAGGTAAGGCTAACCTATTGTAACATACAAAATGAAACATATGATGCCTTAAAAAACAGATGATCTATTTTTCTTTTATTGTCCAGTTTTCAGGAGAGTGATCAATGTGGCAGTTTCCCTTGATGGGGCCATCCAGAGACATCACTGGTTAGGTTTTGCAGGAAACATAAAGCACATTCAGATGAGGCTATTGAGGGAAGTTCTTTAAGGGGAGTATAGCTACAAGGGTGGGAATGTAAAAAAGAAACTAATAAGACAAAGAATACTACTCCGTTGTTAGCAATGGCATAAGAGAATTGGGGGTTGGCCAGGGACTGTTTCCAGCCCTAGGTCTGAAGGAACAAGGGAGTAGAAGCAGTTACTAGAACCAAAAGAGAGTAGATAAAGTGGAGACTCTCCCAATAGATACTCTTGTCATTGGTAGGATGCAGCTAACCTATGACAACTTAGCAGAGAGAGCAGAGGGAATGGATATCTTGACTGAACCCCCCTTCCACCATCCCAAATCCATAAGGCAGGGAGCTATTAATGGAGGCCAGAAAGCCTCCCAGGACACAGAGCGAAGGGGAGGAGTGTACAGAGTGAGTCCTAAGCAGCAGACAGCTTCATCATGTTGCTGCACCACAGCTAGGTAACTACAGTTATCTGCATGGCTGAAGCTAGGTCATCCTCATGTCTGTTTCTCCAAACTGGAAGGAAAGAAAGACTTCGAGGATGTCAGGGAGAAATACCCCAAGTCTTCAGTCCCAGGACCAGAAATGGTAGCCATTACTTTTACTCTCTTATCAATGGTAAAAGCTAACCACATGGCATCACCTAACTAACTGCTGGGGGAAATGGGTGGTGTAATACACCTGGAGAGACATACGTTCGAGGACGAAGAAAGAATAAATTTTGGTGAACAGCTAGTGTTCTGTGCCGCAGTCTACCCTCTGGTCAACAGCAGTAGTCCACTCTTCTCTCACACATTGTATCCCTCACCAAGAAAGATAACCCCAAGCCCCATCCAATTTCTCCCTTCAGTTCAAAGCACACAGTGTCAGGGCGATGTTCTGATCTCTACATTAGGTCCAGATGTGGCTACATGAGGCAGCCTATAAAATAAAATATTGTCCCCACAACACATCCAATTATGATGGTTGAGTATGAACAGAATATCGATAATAAACAATAATAAACAGTTGTGTCTTCTCTTAAAAGGAAGACTAGCATACACTTAGCAGTCTCTGGTCCATACCAATGACATTATTCCACCCGGGAGGAAATGGGAAGGCTACCTGTCTTGGTAGTGGTGTATTTTTCGAGGTCCCCTGTGAGTCCAAATTTTACCCTTTTGGAATTCTTTCTCTAGTACATTGTGCTTTAAGATCACATTGAAAGTGAGTCTTAGAAAGACTATGTAATTTTAGTAACCTCCTTCTTACAGGTGCACATTTGAGAATTCGAGGACATTTCCAGGTCAGACTTTTGGCTGCTTCTGCAATGTAAATAGCTTGGCACTGGACAGGCTTCAGCATCTGTTTGTTGTCAGTAACTGCCACGTGCCAGCAACAAATCCAGACTCCTTTTTGGAACACAGTTCTCAAGCTTACTTTACTTCCTGGTTTCCATGTCTACCCATTTTGCTCCCCCTCACCTAAGTGCTGCCTCCTTTGAGGCCATTTGAGGGAATGGGTAAAAGAAGACAAAGTGGTGAATATATCCCACAGTGCTGGCTTGCTTGGTTTTCCTAACGAGGAGGTATTTGAGGAAGGCTATGAGCTATAGTCAGTTTTCCTCCTGCTGTTGGGGCACAGCACCACATTTCTAGGCCTCCTCTATAGCCTCTGCTTTGGGCCTGCCAGTTCTTACCTGAACACATAATTTTATCACTGTCCTGTACTGAAAATGTCAAGGAACAACCAACCAATACACAACAACATTCCGGTTGCTCTTTGGGGAAATGGCCGGTCTTTCAAGTTATTGCAGGAAATGTTTTTCTTAAATATTTGTGTGATGGTGTTTTAAGGACTTCTAGTTTTGCAGCCTGTGAAATGTTTCTTCAACTCTAATCTAACCACATATTTAAGGTTATTTTTTGAACCCCACTTCTATGTTCAAATTCCTGAATTTTTAAGGTCACTGTAAGCTGTTGTAACAGGCTTCCCAGGTGGTGCTAGTGGTAAAGAACATGCCTTCCAATGCAGGAGACATAAGAGATGTGGACTCGATCCCTGGGTTGGGAAGACCCCCTGGAGGAGGACATGGCATCACACTCCAGTATTCTTGCCTGGAGAATCCCATGGACAGAAGAGCCAGGTGGGCTACAGTCCATGGGG